GAGCTCCCTCCTAAAGAAGTTTCACTAGATATTCTTGTTCTCGGGCCGGAAGGAGAATGATTATAAAGATCCAGATGAGGACCCGACAATGAAGAAGATAAACAAACACGCCATGACCAAGTTTAGCGACGCGTTGGCCGCCTGGAAAAATCGAGTGAAAGCAAGGATCATCGACAAGAAGGAACCCTACTCCTAGATTGTAAAGGATAATCCGATAATCACGGAAGAGTAGTTTGAAATATTCAAGGAGGCTTGCGAGGCCGAAGATGCCAAAAAAAAGTCTAAGTACATGAAGGGGCTTCAAGAGAGGAACTTTGGGAGCCACCACCTCGGAAGCCGTGGTTACGGCGGAAAGAGGCCCAAATGGGCCAAGGAGGACGCGGAAGCCGCGAGTCTGGGCATCGCAGACCCCTTGGCGGAGTTCACCGTCCAGCAGGAGCGTGACGTCCTCAGGGCCCGGCACCGTTGGGATCCAGTGAAAAAGGTTTACGAGAGAACACCGGTCATTACGGAGTTCATAAGACTGCTGGTAATTTTAGTTTCTGATCAATTCGACTGCACACGTTAGTCATATTTGTAAACGATCGTTGTGTCTTTTGCAGAGAGAGCAGCACAGGATTGCGGCCGAAAGCGACTCGCCGTCTGAGGCATTAGCGAGGCCCAAGTGGGACACTCCATTCAACCGGGCGTTGAACATATTGAAACGACAACCGGTGGATACTCGACCGTCGTATGGACGTGTGCACGGTGTCGGAGACGGCGCCACGTGAAAGAAGTACTACCGTGAGACCACGGAGGAGAGAAAGGAAAGACAGAGGTTAAATGAAGAAAACATCGACAAGAGGGTTGAGATTGCGGTTGAGAAGAAATCAACTCAGACAGTCGCAACAGCGGTAGCTGCCGCAAAACAGGTGGCTGTAGATATTTCTACTACCTTGATTCCAGCCGTTTTCAATTGGACCAGGCAAAATACAGAAAAAAATGCAGCGGACTTTCCCCTTGCTGACTTCTTGGCGGGGAGAAGCTCGACTAGCGTTGCACCAGCACCTGCAGCTGCACCTGCTCCCGCACCGGCTCCCGCACCGGACATGCTAGGCGGTGCTTCGTCTGTGGCTAAGCTCGACGCCCTCACGGTATCTGTCACACCATCCCCCTTCAATATAAATGTATAATCTCCCGTTTTCGTTGCCTTTCGGATGTCTCACATCGCAGACTTTTCTTTGCAGGCCGACGAAACCCTGTGCACCATATTGTACACCATCGGCGACCAGAAGGTGGACGTGGGGAAGGAGACGATAATGGAGCCGAAGGAACCATTGTTCCACAGCCGGCCGATCCCCTCGAACGTCTTCAAGGTTTCCGTAGCCAGTGTCAAACCGGGCCATGAGAATTTGCCTCCTCCAGTACTACTAGGGGATGACGACGAGACACCGCGGCGGCTTGGTGATTGTTGCAATGCTGGGTGGGTCTTGTTGTGGCCAAAGAGTCTGCTTCGTCTGGAGGCGGCCGGGAGCACACCCACGAGCACGCAGCCTTAGCAAGGTATGAACATCAACACCCCACCTACCCAATTAGCGTCGGGTGTCGGGTTGGGTGATAGCGGACGGGGTAAGGAGGAGGCTCCATTAGTCGCTGATGACGTCGCCATGGATGAGGATGAGGACGACGATGGCGCTGCTGAACAATATGTTTATACTGGCGCCTCCTTAGGGTTTGAGCGTCATGAGTCGGTGCCTGAATTGCCATCTCAACATATTATGGACGACCTTCCGGTAGTAAAGAAGTTTAGGAAGAGAGCGAGGAAAGGCAAAAAAGCTGTTTCTATGATCCAGCCGCCTCAGCGGCCTCGGCTTCAGAACCGTATAGATATCCCCGATGCGGATAAATGGCATATCCCCGGTCAACCAATCCTACCTGCAACAGCGCTACGGGCCAGATTCGGCGATCTAAAGAGACTTCATGCCGATGTGCTGCGGGTAGAGAAAGACCTCATCGCCTCGAAAGATCCAGGATACCCACTCTACGTGGTTAACGTTCCGCGGCAAATGTCGTACGTCGACAGCTTCCCTGCGGATAAGTTCTTCCTCCGATTCGATTACATATTCGACATGTTTCACGTGAAGAAGCTGGATTTTACGTTTGTCCGCCTTTATGCCTTGCACATGAACTACATCATCGGGGTTGAGCAGATATCTCATATCTGTGTCGCTGACCCGTACTACATGCACGAGGGCTTCTTGGGAGTCTGCGCAAATCACCGTGAATACACGAGGGATTACATCGTCAGTTTCATGCTCGCCAATAAGGACAAGGGGGCGATTCTCGTGCCTTATCATCCCGTGTAAGTCATCCGCGCTGCTATCCTTCGTCCTTCGATTTCAATCATTCATTTGCACGGTGGAGGCTAATTAATTTGAGGACTTATTTTGCGCAGCGGCGGGCGCGCCGTCCTCATCATCCTCTACCCCCGATTCTCCCACGCTCTTTACTTGGACTCGTCAAAGAACATTCACAAAAAGGATTACACCCACATCAAGGATGTTCTCGACAGTGCTACGTATTACTACCAATCAATGGGTGGAGAGGTCAGGGACAAGAAGATAAGGGGCGGCAGGTTCGCCTTTGGCCATAAGACCGACTTCTACTGCATCCAGCAACCGAACGATTCTCTTAATGATGGATTCTATGTCCTACATCACATGCTGGAGTACAGACGGGATCACTAGAACCTTCGCATGGCACCTTCTTCCGGCGATGCCCATATTCTGCAATGGGCAAAGGACATAGGAGATATTGAGGATCATCGACTTCGAGCTGAGTTCTATAACATCCAGCACGAACTTGCCCAAATCATCATGAAGGAGGTCATCGGAAAAACAGGGATGTTCTACGGAGAAGGACAAATGTCGCGGGAAGACGTCCGAACATGGATAGCCTCTCAGCGTCTCGACCTGAAGCCTTTCACTTGGCTCGGGGACTATCTCCCTGACTTGGATGGATGGAACGATATGTTGGAGTGATTGTCGATATATGACAATGTGTCCGTTTAGTTCATACTTTCTGTATGACAAAATTTTGAGTTATGCACGGTGAAACTTTATTTGTGATGTAATTAAACCGTCCTCCTCCTCGACTAGCGAAAATCATCACAATGTTGTTTCTATTTTTGCCAAGTCTGTCTCTTTCTGTTGCTCAACTATATATGTTGCATATCATCGACTCATGTGATGATGCAGGTGCATAGATCATAGATGGCGAAGAAGTGCTACGCCAGGAGTATATATACGACAAGTGGCCGGAGTGTCAGGCCGCCCAGGTGTACCGGTTTCCGGTTTTCGAGCGACAGGCAGTAGTTAGCTTAGGTTCACGCTAATGCGAGAGAGGGATACGAACTCATGTTCTCAAAGTGATAGCTCTTCTCGTGTATATCATTGTTTAGATGGATGACGATGTATTTGCAAGTAATCGAGACTTGTATCGCTATTTTCGAGATGATGACGAGAGACCACTTTGTGTTGGATGATGATTATGATGATGACATGATTTGATGAGACTAATTGTATGTATATGCTATGATTACATTTGTATGTGTATGATATGCTAAAGATTATTGTATAAAGCCTATTCAAATACAAAACAAATACAAAACAAATATGCAGGAAAAAAACTAATAAATAAACTAGTAGTAGCGAGGGGGGAAATTTAGCAGTAGCACCTCCTTACCAGTAGCGCGTCCCAGTAAATAGCGCTGCAGATAATATCAGTAGCGTGGGACAACAGGCGCTACTGCTATACGTTAGCTGTAGCGCCTTATTAGTAGCGCCGGCACCCGCGCTACTGAGAGGCCCAAAACCCTCGCTGCTGCTAGGCTTTTCCCTAGTAGTGTAGAGCCACGCATATCACCTGAAGAACATTTCGGAAGTCCATACATCACATGAATATTTTTTTTACATTGCTCTAAACTCTGGTTCACGCACATTACTTTTTGGTTAACAGAGTGACACACAACCACATCGACTTGAGCCATGTCCTCGGGTGGGTTGGTGGTGACGAACTGACAATGACGATGACGTGTTTGAACCATTTCCATATTCATATTGATGGCTCTAATTGTTTGTCGTCCATGCTAGCTGTCTAACAGAAGCGCAATGTTTTGGTCCAAGGATGTGGAGATGACACCGCCTCTTGTCACCTATCCTTCAGCCTCCTGCTGTGCTTACTTTACCCTGACATTATAAAGAGCTCTTCCACCTTATCTGTTGAAAATATGACCTTAGATCATTCTCAATTACAGGGCTAGCGAACAAAACAAACTAAAGAAGGGATATGGTGTATGGGAAGTTGGGATAGATCAATGAAGTGGAGGGCTAAACCGGTAGACTACACTTCAAATTTAGAATCGGTCCCACCTAATTTTGTTTTCTCGGGGAAACAATCTGCGCCAGATTTGGAAGCACTCCAAACTAATTCATTGTCCTTGGGGAAACAATCTACACCACCTAAACAGGGGCGAACAAGAGGGCTGTGGGTAACTTATGGTTAAGTACGAAGTACACGTACGCAAGTCTATCTTGCTATATCAGTGGTGTTTTGTGCGTTAGTGCCGATTAAATACATGACAAACTGTATTGCTTGTTAACTTGCACGCTACTAGCACTAAGTACACCTACACAGATATGTCTTGACCGCTCCAGATGTGGTGCCTTTTACGCTTAGCCTATTGCTTTTTCAGCTGTGCGTTACAACTACGTACACGTACGCATATCTAGAGTGCTCCATAGACGATGGTTTGTACGCTAAAACAGAACTAACATCAGCCAAATGTATTGCTTTTTCATTTGTGTTGGCAAGCTGGCATCTATCTGCTATTATCGGACCAAGTAGACGCACGGGACTATAAATTAATACGGCCTAAGGTGAGGCCACACCACAACGGACTACGTACACAGACAGAAAGAGATCCATAAATTAACCTGAAGAGGACGACAGGCTAGACAGCCATGTTCTTCTCCACAAAGACATGCATTGCTACGATCATGGTGCTGGCGCTGGTGCTGGCGCATCAAGGCACCGTTGACTCCAGCCGCCTCTTTCCCAACTCCCATGGTTGTCCAGATGGCTATCATTTGACATGCTACGTTCTTCGTAGTTCAGGAGTCTGTAGGTGTATGCGAGATCATCGACTTGTGGATCACGAATCCACGGTGGCGAGGAACAGCCTCGTGTCGCCCCAGATAGCGTGCCCAGAAGGCCAAGTGTGGATTGGCAAGTTTGGGCACTGCTCCGTCAAGTGACGCAGCTAGCGTGCCCACAAGGCACCGATCGTGCATAGTACTAGCAATAAGTGTTGCTGCTGCTCATGTTGTTGTAAAGCTACTGTGCTGCTGCTCATGTTGTTGTAAGGCTACCTCCTGTCCTGTATCAGTGAATAAGATAAAGTCCAGTGCTATATATGCAGGCCTTTTTACACATCACCGCTCCTTTGTGAGCCTTTCGAAACGTATTTTTCGCATCTCACGTTAGGACCGTGCACGCATGTACCTGCGGGAAAGTGGAAACCGGAGGAAACATACATCGCATGATGAGTTCGATTTGGTGATGTTTATCGAGTGTCTGGTCTGACCCTAATTGGTCATACCTGACAATGGCGATGTTTCGGCATCGTTACCCTCTTGAAGACATGCGTGGCTTGGAGTTTACTCAGACTGGTCTTTAGGATGAAAACCCATGATCCGGTCTTCAGTAGTTAGATCTGGCGAAGGCGGCACTTGATCGTCGTTTTCTTCTTGAAGGCGTTGTTAATGGAGAACCTTCTCGCTGTCCTTGTATTGAGAAGAACCATTGGTGCGGATGGTCGTTGCTGCAGTTCGCCGGTCGTTGTTTAGAACACTTCGAATTTTTTCCTCGTCTAGTCTTTGACGACTTCTCTCATTGCCGTCATGTTTTATTTGTGTGTATTGGTGTTGGCCGTGTGCATCTTTATTGTTCAGAGGTCGGGTGTGTGCTCATCGTGTTTGTATCCAGTTGATACTTCATGTCGAGTCAATAAAATCCACCCTTTATTGATATAAATGATGCGACCACTCACTAATCTAACAATATATTTAAATGGATAAATCATTCTTTATTATATGATGGCAAATGAATAAAATAAGGGCCGCTGCTATATATGTTGTGTTGTTTGAGTGTTGTTCTCGGAAAATGTTGTTCTGCCGAGTGTAGGTCTTGGCAAAGATGCATTGTCAGCCTTGTTTCTTCCTCATTTTTATGTAACCCTGCAGCAAAACCAGATATACCATTTAGAAGCTTCATATGAAGTCACATACTTAACAACAAACTGACAAAGGGCTTATATATATATATAGTCCACACAAGCTTAAAAACAAACTCACGAAGACATTATATATAATCCACACAATCTTCATATCAAGTCACAAAGTGGTCAAATTAGTTATTTAGCACAAGTGCCTACTCACTAAACAACAAAGTGGTCAATGCATGTCTACATGCGACCACATCATAAATGCAACACCATAATTAGGATGAATTGAAAGAGAATTATCAAGTTCTTTAGTCCACTCAACCCAATAAGCTCACGTGCACCATTGCCTAATTCACAATTTCTCTACTGATCGAGAATATACTGATTGTAATGATTCTCTTCCTCCTCTCTTCTTTTGAACGAATCGAAGGAGCTGCCTTCATAATGAGGCACTTGTTCATTGCATGCAGATCATGAATTATAGACTCCTGGACACCTATCTCTGTACACCGCATATCACTTCATCTACAAAAAAAGAGAAAAGGATTCCAAAAGGAACGCAAGTTAAAAATAACACATCATACATAATCCACTTAAGCATTTATCACTCATATACCCAAAAACATCACAAGTGGTAATCCAAGTCCGCATCAGCAGCTACATAACTATGTCACTAAATCATCATCAAACTATCTAGGTGGACTACTCCGAGGTGTAGTCGGTGAAACCAATAATCGTGGAGTCAGAGCACGTGGGGACTTCCCCCGCAATGGAGGACCAAGCATCGTTGGGAATGATGGTCGGTGGACTAAATGGCACCGGGTCGTCACTCTCCTTATGTTGGGGGCCCTCGCTGTCCATAGTTGGCGGATTCTTGTTAGCCAGATCCGCAAAATACTTTATTAGGATCAGCTGTGGGTTCTCCTCAATGAGCGCCACCAAGGGGTCCTCACTTTGCGCGCTTCTCCATGACCACAGAGTCGACCCTAATGTAAGTTGCATCATCGTAGGAAGACATAACGACAAGATCGACTGGTGCTAACACCTTTCATTACACAATGAAAAATAAGTTAAGAATCAAACATCAAAGATTACTTCTAAGCAAATTTATCAAGGTAGGTGTATGTATGGTGGAGACTCTCATGGGTATTTCTACTTTTGGTGACGGTCGATCCGGGGGAGCTCATCATGTGTACCCAAGGTATCACGAGATGAACTCGCTTAGATCGGCCATCATTGTCAAAAGTCTATTTTTTTCTTCGGGAACATCTCTTATAACTCTCATCTCTCTGGTGTTTGTTTATATGGTGGACACTCTCTCACTGGTATGTCGACTTTTGGTGATGGTTGAGATAGGTCAGTCCACCATGAGTTACAAAGGTATATCACATGAGAAGAACTCACACAGATCGACCTTCATCGTCAAAAGTCGATTTCTTTCCTCCAAGAATAACTCTTATTGACTGTTGGCGATGGTCGGTCTTTCTCCACTGCTCCTACTTTACCAAGATCCCAGAGGAGGAGCAAAGGAAGAGCGACCCCTACGACAACAGTGGGTAATGATACATCTCCATCATATCTATTTTTCCTAACACTTTTGCTCTTGTTTTGGACACTAATTTGCATGGTTTGAATGAAACTAACCCGAACTTACGCTGTTTTCAGCCGAACTACCATGGTGTTATTTTTGTGCAAAAATAAAGGTTCTTAGAATTGGACGAAACTTTTTGGAGAATTATTTTGAAATAAATAAAAAATACTGGAATCAAGACCCACTGGAGATGGGGGGGGGCAGCTGCCCACAAGGCACCCGGGCGTGTCACCCCCCTCTGGCATGCCCTGGTGGGTAGTGGGGCCCATGAGGCTCCGCTGACCCTAATTTTGATGCTATAAAATCCTATTTTTTCATAAAAAATAGAGAGGAAGTTTTATCGAGTTTTACGATACAGATTCGCCGCCACCTTCGGGGCTCCGGGAGGCCAGATCTGGAGCCCTTTCGGGGCTCCGGAGCGGGGGATCTTCGGTCTTCGTTATCACCAACCATCCTTCATCATCAATTTCATGATGCTCACCGCTAGTAGTGAGTAATTCCTTCGTAGGCTTGCTGGTCAACGAGGAGTTGGATGAGATTCATCATGTAATTGAGTTAGTTTTGTTAGGGCTTGATCCCTAGTATCCACTATGTTCTGAGATTGATGTTGCTATGACCTTGCTATGCTTAATGCTTGTCACTAGGTCCCGAGTGCCATGATTTAAGATCTGAACCGTTTATGTTTTTACCTTTATATCTATGTTCGTGATCCGATCTTGCAAGTTATATGCCCCTATTTATGATCCATAAACCCCAAGGTGACAATAATTGGGATACTTTTTGGTGACGAGCGTATTTTGATGAGTTCATATATTCACTATATGTGAATGCTTTATTTCGGTTCTGTATTAAAAGGAAGCCTTAATATCCCTTAGTTTTCTTATGGACTCCACTGCCAGAGGAGGGTAGGACAAAAGATACATGTTCTTTTCCATAAGCATGTATGACTATTTATGGAATACATGCCTAATTATATTTATGACCCGGAGCTAATTTTGTATCGCCCAAGGTTATGACTGTTATATGTTGAATATTATCCAACGAAATCACCGATCCAATGCCTACGAGCTTTTCACATATTATACTTGCTAAGTTACTATTGCTATTGCTACTGTTTCAACTGCTAGAAAACAATTACTGATGTTACGTTACCACTACTATTGTCACTACTACTATCAAACTATCATACTACTGTGCTACTGGTCACTTTGCTGCAGATATTTAATCTCCAAGTGTGGCTGAATTGACAACTCAACTGCTAGTACTTCAAAATATTCTTTGGCTCCCCTTATGTCAAATTTATAAATTTAAGTTGAATACTCTACCCTCGAAAACGGTTGCGATACCCTCTACTTATGAGTTATTAAGACTTTTTCTGGTGCCATTGCTGAGGAGCATAGCTATATTTTTTGACTCATTTGGGATTTATATCTATTTCTTACTATAAAGAATCTGAAAGATACCAAAACCAAGATTTTTCCCCTCTAAAATGAGAGGAGGTAAGGAACTGCCATCTAGCTCTGTACTTGATTCACCTTCTGTTTTGAATAGAGTTGCAACACCACCATCCACTATTATTTCTGATATATCGCAAGTTATTGATGATGCTACTTCTGTTATGAATTATGGGTATGATGATGCTAGTACCTTTATTGATGATAATGTGTGACTAGCACTACTAGAAGAAGGGCTATAGATGGGATTGACACTAATGGCGCACCAAACAAGCGGTGCGCCATTAGTATATACTAATGGTGCACCACCTTCTGATACGCCATTAGAGTTGAAACTACTAATGGCGCACCAGGCCCAGGGTGCGCCATTAGTATAATTTTTTTTTGAACTAGTGCGCCTGTCCAAACATACTAATGGCGCATCCAGACACAGTGCGCCATTACTAGTTGTAACTAGTAATGGCGCACCTGTCGGAAAGTGCGCCACTAATGTTGTTTTTTTATTATATTTTTTATTCCTTTTTTTTGCAAAACTACTAATGGCGCACTGTTCCACCATGCGCCATTACTTGTTTAAACTAGTAATAGCGCACTGTGGGACAGTGCACCATTAGTATGTTTTTTTTTGCAAAACTACTAATGGCGCACCACCATAAGGTGCGCCATTAGTAACCTGGATTACTAATGGCGCATTTAGAGTTGGTGCGCCATTAGTAAGTGGGCAGCAACAAGATATTTTGGACAGCCTCTCCTACCCACACTCACTTTCTCCCCACTTCATTCTCTCCACCTCCTCCTTGTCTCGGGTGCCTCCTCTTTTCACCTCATTTCCACCATAGATTCATTCAATTTAAGTGGTTAAATTACCTTGTTTTGATAGGTAAGTAAGGGGGGAAGCTATATTTATGTTGTTCTCCCTACAACAATGTGCACATGCACTTTTTATGGCCTAGCTAGATCTATGTATGTTCGTGGTGTTGCATATGT